CGGTCTGATGAGTTGACTGTTAAGGATTCTCTGGCTCTCAGTGTTCAGTGTGCAGGTTCTGTGTCTAATATGGCCCAACACCTATTTGCTTGAACCCGCCAAGTTGAATAATTGGCGGCTGAAGTGATAAGTCTCAAACAGGAGATCAGAGGGCTCAAGCATGAGAATAAACAGTTGCACAGGCTCGCACATGACTATACTACAAACATGAAGATGAAGCTTGACCAGCTGCAGGAATCTGATGGTCAGATTTTGCTTGATAATCAGAGGTTTGTGGGTTTGTTCCAAAGGCATTTATTGCCTTTGTCTTCTGGGGCTGTACCACGTAATGAAGCTCCGAATGATCAACCTTTGGTGCCTCCTCCTTCTAGGGTTCTCTACCAGTACTGAGGCTCCGAATGATCACCTTCTGATGCCTACTCTTTCTGGGGCTCTGCCGACTGCTGAGACTTCTCATGAGCAACCTTTGTGAAGGCTCTCTCTTGTTTGTTTATTTTGATTCATGTATATATACATATTTGTAACTTATCGAAGATATCAATAAACAAGCTTTGCTTCATTTCAACGTATTGTGTTGAATACACCAAGGCCTTCTTCACTAAGTTCTTTGAATTTTTTCTTTTGTTGAAGCTTGTATGTTGAAGCTTTGAGAGTGAAACATGTATGTTGAGGTAGTACTTCCTTAATTTCCCGAGTGAGGAAAACTTCTCGGTTGGAGACTTGAAAAATCCAAGTCACTGAGTGGTCGTGAGACTTCTGAATATCAAGGTGCAGTAGCATATGGTAGGTGTCCCCCAAGTCTCCGGTCGAGGGAGTTGACGAATGTGGCATTTCCTTTTTAAATGGTAGCCCAAAACTCCTCATTCATATATATATTTGTTATGAAAGTTGTTAGGCCTAAAGAAGAGGAGACCTAGGCGAATTTTTTTTCTTCGAATTTTTGAATTTTTTTTTTTGAATTTTTGAATTTTTGAATTTCTGAAAAAATATATATATATTTTTAAGCTTTGTAGGTGAAGCTTTGGTGTTGAAGCTTTGTAGGTGAAGCTTTGAGGTTAAAGCTTTGTTGGGCACCATGAATTGATCAAGATAGTGTGAAGCTTTTGTAGGTGAAGCTTTTGTGTTGAAGCTTTTGTAGGTCAAGCTTTTGTGGGTCAAGCTTTTGTGGGTCAAGCTTTTATGGGTCAAGCTTTTGTGGGTCAAGCTTTTGTGGGTCAAACTTTTGTGGGTGAAGCTTTTGTAGGTGAAGCTTTTGTGGGTCAAGCTTTTGTGGGTCAAGCTTTTATGGGTGAAGCTTTTGTGTTGAAGCTTTTATGGGTGAAGCTTTTATGTTGAAGTTTTTGTAGGTGAAGCTTTGGAGTTGAAGCTTTTGTTGGGTACCATGAATTGATTTTGCTTCACACTATCTTGATCAAGATAGTGTAAAGCTTTTGAGAATTCGTAGTTGTCCTCAAATGATGAAGCTTTTGTGGGTAAAGCTTTTGTGTTGAAGCTTTTGTAAGTGAAGCTTTGGAGTTGAAGCTTTGGGCCCGAGTGTTTCATTGCTAGGAATGTAAGAGGATTAGGACCGAGTTATCTAAATCACCTCTTTATTGAATTCATGCCAAATAGTCTTCGTTACATAGGATGATGAACTGTTGAAGCTTAACACTTGTACAATGTGAGTTTACTTGTAATAGTACTTCAAGTGATCAGCGTTCCATGGATGGCCAATGGTCTTGCCATCGGAGCTTCTAAGCTTGTAGGAGCCAGGGTGACTGATGCCAACAACTTTAAACTGTCAATCCCAGTTTGGACTAAGTGTTCCTTCACTCGGGACTCTGTCGCAGAGTAATCTTTTCTTTAATACCCAATCCTCCACTTTGAAAGAACGAGGTTTGACCCTTGAGTCATAGTAGTTGGAGATGCGCTGCTTGTAGGCGACATTCCTCAAGTGAGCCTGGTTTCTGTGTTCCTCAACTAGATCTAAGTTGAGGGTAAGTTGTTTGTCATTTTCGCCTTGCACGTAGTTCTGGACTCGAAATGTTGCTTATTCAAGCTCAACTGGGACAACTGCCTCTGTACCAAAGGCAAGTGAGAATGGGGTTTCTCGTGTTGATGTCTAATACGAAGTGCGGTATGACCAAAAAACTTGGGGTACAAATTCTGGCCAACAACCTTTAGCCTTGTCTAAGTTGGTTTTCAAAGTTCGCTTGATTATTTTGTTGATAGCTTCAACTTGTCCATTAGACTGGGGATGAGCTGGGGAGGCAAAACATAAGTTGATGTTGAACTTAGAGCAGAACATCCTGAACTTATTGTTGTTGAACTGTCGCCCGTTGTCAATGACTATCGCATCGGGAATGCCGAATCTGCAAAGGATGTTCTTTCATACGAAGTCTTCTATTTTTGCCTTAGTAATGGTTGCTAAGGGTTCTACTTCGGCCCACTTTGTGAAGTAGTCAACTGCAACGATTGCATAGCGAACTTTGCCCTTCCCTGCAGGCATTGGGCCAATCAAATCAAGTCCCCATTGGGCGAAAGGCCAAGGGCTGATCATAGGAGTGAGCTGCTCGGGAGGGGAGTGAGGAATAATTACGTTGCGTTGACACTTATCACATGAGCGGGATATTTTGATGGCATCTTGGTAGAGTGTCGGCCAGTAATCCTTGGCAAAAAGCCTTGTGTGCTAGGGATCGAGATCTAGCATGATCTCTGCAGACTCCTTCATGTATTTCCCGAAGGACAGTTTTCGCCTCTACGGGCGTAAGGCATCTTAGGTATGGTAGGTTAAAACCCCACTTGTAAAGTTGATCATTAATGATCAAGTAACAGGTAGCCTTGTATCGAATTTGCTTAGCTTGGACTTTGTCATTTGGAAGGGTGCCATGAGTAAGGAATCTATAAATCGGGGTAATCCAACTATCCCCCTGTTGTAAGTTGCACACTTCCGCAACCATGGTGCTTGGTGCTGCCAACAATTCGACCTGAATTCTTCTCCCAATCTTGTCTTCCACCGCTGAGGCGAGGTGAGCCAAAGCATTTGTATGACTATTTGCCGCTCGAGGAATTTGGGTGATCTGGTACTGGAAGTGCTTGAGCAACAATTGTGTTTGTGCCATATATGCTGCCATTGAGCTATCCTTAGCGTCAAAGTTGTTGGTGACTTGGTTAACCACCAATTGAGAGTCACTGAAGATATCAATTCGTTTAACCCCAAGGTGTTTGGCCAAACATAAGCCTGCTAGGAGGGCTTCATAGTCGGCCTCATTGTTCGACTCCTTAACTTTGAAACGAATAGCATACTTCATTGCCACTTTGTCAGGGGTCGTAAGGACTAGTCCTGCTTCACAACCCTGTTGGTTGGATGAGCCATCAACATATAGTCTCCATGCTGGGGCTGTTGGTTCTGTTTTCTGAGCTTCCGAGGGTAATGAAACCACTTCTTTGGGCGTAGAAACAATGTTAATAGGATATGTGAAGTCGGCGATGAAGTCTGCCACTGCTTGGCCCTTCTCAGCTGGCTTTGGTTAGTAGGAGATGTCAAACTCACCCAATGCTATTGCCCATTTGATCATTCGCCCAGAAGTGTCAGGACTTTGGAGTATTTGTCGAAGATGATGATTGGTAAGCACGATGATGGAGTGTGCTTGGAAGTAAGGGCGAAGTTTTCGAGCAGACACGACCAATGTTAGAGCTAATTTCTCAATGTTGGAGTATCGTGTCTCCTCATCTTGTAAGGCCTTGCTAGCGTAGTAGACAGGCCGTTCGACATTACCATCTTTTCGAATGAGAACGGAACTTACTACTGAAGCTGATACCGACAGATAGATAATGAGAGTGTCACCAACCTCAGGTTTGGAGAGCAGAGGGGCTTTACTCATGTAGTCTTTGAGGTTCTTGAATACCTCAGCACATTCATCAGTCCATGTAATGTACTTTTTACTTCCCTTAAATGCTTTGAAGAAAGGAGCACATCTGTCTGTGGCCTTAGAGATGAACCTAGTTAAGGCTGCCACCTTGCCAGTAAGGCTTTGGATGTCTTTTGAGGTTACCGGTTCCTTCATGTCGATGATTGCTTTGATCTTCTCGGGATTAGCCTCAATACCTCGTTGGCTTATCATGAAGCCTAAGAATTTGCCAGAGCCTACGTCGAAGGCACATTTGTTGGGGTTTAACCTCATTCGATACCTCTTCAGAATGGTGAAAGTTTCAGATAGGTTGGTGATGTGTTGGTTAGCATGTTTGCTCTTGACTAGCATATCATCAACATAAACTTCCATCCTCTTCCCAATCTGTTCGGCAAACATTGAATTGACCAGTCTCCGATAAGTCGCTCCTGCATTTTTTAGGCCGAAGGGCATGACTTTATAGCAATCACTAGTACAAAAAAGACTTTGCGCGACATAGGACCGTCGTCGCGCAAAGTCAAAAATATGTCGCCCAAAAATTAGCTAAACGAACCTTCATCGCCCAAGAACCGTCGTGCGAAGGCAGTGAAGGAAGGGTTTGTACGACGCAGTGCCTACCTACGTCGCGCAAAGCTACTTTGCGCGATGTAGGTCCTGCGTCGCTCAAAGTAGCTTTACGCGACGTAGGTAGGCACTGCGTTGCTCAAAGTAAATTTATGCGACATAGGTCCTGCGTCACGCAAAGTAGCTTTGCGCGACGTAGGTAGGCACTGTGTCGCACAAACCCTTCCTTCACTACCTTCGCGCGACGGTTCTTGCGCGATGAAGGTTCGTTTAGCTAATTTTTGGGCGACGTATTTTTGACTTTGCGCGACGACGGTCCTATGTCGCGTAGGCACTGCGTCGCTCAAAGTAAATTTGCGCGACGTAGGTCCTGCGTCACGCAAAGTAGCTTTGCGCAACGTAGGTAGGCACTGCGTAGCGCAAACCTTTTTTTTTGTCATTTATATTTTTTTATTTAATTTTTAATAAATATTATAATTAAATTCTAAACAATAATTAATAAACCAAGAAAAAGTAATTAATTATAGAATATATGAAAATGTACGTTTGTCCGAACAAGAAATTAAAAAACTACAAGTCTTCTAAGTTTAATACATCATGCTACTCGGTATCATCTGGGTAAAGTGGCTGGGAAGTCGAAGGTGGAGCAACATTAGGTGTTGGCATCGTCGGGATTTGGAGGCCAGACATCGCTAAGGCCTGAACAATCATATTCATCCTCTCGTCCTGGGCCCTAATGTGGTCGCCCTGGGCCGTAACCTGACCTCTTAGGGTTGTCACTTCCTCCTTCAAGGAATTGACCTTTCCTGTGGACAATCTGGAAGAAGAGGCACCCGTTTCACGAACCCCCGCCTTCCCCGTACACCTAACAACCTTACCATGATGACGACCGAACTTCTGATCCAGGACCTCAGTCACGATCTGAACATTTGCATCCTTGGGTACAATGACGTCCTCGATCGGGGTCTTTGGGGGAAGCTGCGATGTTGCTTCTTGGAGAATAGCAGTGCTCTTTTCCACTATGTTTAATAACAAAATATAAATAATATTTGAACGATTCATAAAAATAAGAAAAATAACAATTACATATACTTACATAAAGCTGGTCACTATTCTCATTGTTGGGATGAACGTAAACATGCTTGAACAGGTCAATCTGTGGGAACTTAGAACCCTTCTAAAGAAAAAAAAAACATTAAGAAAATTTTATTAATCAATAATAAAAAATAGATTGTATAAAATTTCAAAATTAATATACTTTTACCTCACGTCGTGCCTCAACCCTATACGAAAAGGGCTTCGAACTGGAATGGTGGAGAAGTGTCTTTGAGTCCCGAGCTTTCTTGCCAACAACAGATTTATTCTGTTAAACATACAATATACATGTTAGTGCGACTATTTGAAAGAAATTATTAAAAAAAGCTTAAATGAAATAACAAAAACAATAAATTATTATTAAAGTATTATGTACATACCACAAATTTTGGATCCGTAAAATGTGTGCAGAGCCACTCCCAATCCTCTCGCCGCTCCTTATACTCGAGTGGGCAACCCTGTAGGCGAGCAATCTCCGGAGATTCCCATAGCTAAAAATGCTTGTGAAGAGTGCTCTTCCAATCTTTGTACCGGCTTGCAAAGGTCTCCTCTAAGTAGGCACTGACCTCAGGGGATATGTCCTCCATTTCAAAAACGACCTACAAATATGAAAAACAAAATGACAAACAAAATGACCATGTATCAGAATAATTGACAACTAGTTTATAAGATACTGATAAAGTTTGTCGGTTTACAATAATAACTAGAATCTTAATTTGTTAGGAAGCAAACAATATAATGTTTATATTATGAAAGATCTCAAGAGTGGGGTTTTGATCTCCCATGTGAGCCTCTTTCCACCGGTACAGAGACCAAAGGTGGAAATTCAACATTTTATAGAGAGGTTGTAACTGCACTGACTGTAACTCAAGATCAACTATTCCAGTAGCATGTTAAATGATTTGTTAGGATGTAAGCCAACTACTATTATATATACTTTACCCAAAAAGAAAAAAAAAGTCATGCATGTACAATTTAATGCAATTCCATAAAGGTAACCTATTGCATACAAGCATTTCATATCCCACTTTAACAGTCAGTTAATCATGTTGGCTTCCAAATAGCTGTTACTAAGGACATGCTCTAATTTTTACAACCAAAAACCAATTTACCCCTTAAGATGTGAGCTTCGTTAAAGTAATTTACAACATCATGCCTGTTTAAACTGGTTGTGCTTACAATCCAGAAGTAGTAAAACTGACAGAATGAAAATTATGCTGCTGCAACTACAGAAATCAAATTGTGTAACATGTTTATGAGACTCTTGTCCAACTGCAACCCACTAAGAATAGCATGTAGTAAGCATGTCATTTCTAAATGACCCAACAAATATTAGCAGATTCGAAGAAAAACTTCATAAGAAGGTAAGTAAATGTGTAGAAAGTGGTTACAGTAATATACAGGAAGCTTACAAAATTATAAACAATTTTTATATATAGGATCATTCATACTAGTTCGGAAAGTAGTGTCAAACCTCAGCTTCACGCAAGTGTCAAACCTTTAATGTTCAAACCATAAGGTTAACACTCAAATTATTTATCAAATTCCTTTCCTTAGCACAATTTCTCAACAAAGGATTTAACTCGACTATTTAAGGCTGCTTTCGTAGTTCACTTTAATAAATAAAACCAGGACAACAACTAAAAACAATTCACTATCAAATTGAGGCAAAGTCAAGAACCATACATAGGACTCGCTCGGTAAAAGATAGATTATTTGATTAGTATAGCCAGTCCCAAGAAGCACTTAATGATTAAAACAAAACAGCATGTATAGGCATAATGTTTAGGTATCACGATGTTGCTCAACCAGTGGATACTATGGATCAGGTTAACTGATGCACAACACAAGCAAAGCAATGTACTAGAGACGGCATGCATACTCACTTAAACACTATCATAAATCATTAAGCAAGGACGTAGACCAAAACTAAAAACCCATAAATATGCATCAGATAAGATAGTAATCCTTCCACCTAACCAACATAATCATTATTTTAACATTGGTTCACGGAATTATTTTTCAATTTCCTTCCCATGAAGCATTCAGACAACAAAGAACAGTGCCGCAAATCACTGAAATTAACCAAAACTAAAGGACCACACCTGCTCCCAATTATGAATAGAAGAAGAGTGTGCAAAATACATGACCAAATTATTCACCACAACAACACTCGGCTATCAGGTGCAAAACAATGAAATGCACCTGATTTCTCTTTCCCCCCTACATTTTCTTAGCAACCAAACAGAAATTGAGAGAAAGATCTTGACTTTATTAATCAAGATGATGGCCCTGCAATAGTTTAAGCAGAGAAAGATGTTGACTTTGCTAAAAATTAATTTACTAACCTCCAAATTATCTCGCACCAGGGTCCTCGTCTCATCGGGAATTTTTGCCCAACTCTCCCACCGCATAGGACAAAAATTCCTAATAATAAAACCACAGCAATTAACGACGCTGTTATGCTGCTGTGAGGTAACCGCTCCACAATGTCGCTCATCATACGCAATCTTGATCAAGGAGGCAGACATACGTACAAGCTGTAGCTCCTTCAACATTCGATTGGGCCCCTTGGTGTTTTTTTTTAGCTACCCAAAAAAACTTTAATGGTAAAAACCCTAAGCTTAAATTTGTACAAAAAATTCGGCAAAACCTCCCCTAATCATAAAAGTACCTTAAAACAGTAATTCACAACCCGCAACACATTTTCACAATCATAAAAGTAATAGTTTTGAAATGAAAAAAAAATGCAACGTAGTGAGAATTAGAAAAAAAACTACCTGGTTGGGAGGCCCCATCCTCGACTCTGGAGGACAAGGAAGTGTGATCAGAAGGCTCCGGCTCGCGGCGGCGCTAGGGAGGCCGCCGTGCACTGAGGGGTTGAACTGACACTGATGACGTTGATGATACGGGCACCTGGGACGTCGTAGGAGTAGCCTCCGTAAGGGGTGTAGGCTCCCCAATCAATGGAGCACTCACGCTTGGAGCACTCACACCTGGAGCACTAGATGCTGATAATGCAGGAGCTGCATTGGACACACTCCGACGACGAGTGATCAACTGCGACATCTATACACTTTATGAACCATACAAATATAACATTAGAAACTAATCATTTCTTGCATTTGAAACTAATAAAATAGCAACCAAAGTAATATAAGTAATTAGAGCAATAATATCAATACAAGAATATTTAAACTAATCCTTTCTTGCATCTGAACAAACCCTAAAAGAGAATCACTATATAAGGATCAAATTAGTTAAACTGTGGCAGTATGTGTATTTTGTGAGCAAAAATGATAGATTTTTTCACTAATTTGTTCCACCTCATGAAAGGTTTAGAATAAACTTTACATGGGATATGTGGGTTATAATGCAACTGCTCAAAAGTACAGTATTTAAATGGTCGGGTCCTGCACTGCTTAAGTCTATTCAAGTAAAATTCTCATCTAAGGTAATACCGTAATAGCTTGAGGCAGTGGGTTAAGCAATCAGGCATATCATATATAAGTATGTGCATCAAATGTTTTCTAGTTTCAATCCCCTGTGAAAAGTTAACACTTCCTACAAATCTGGAAAAGCCATATGCAGGGCTCATTCTTCAGAACAAGAATACAGGTTTTTCACAACAACTATTTAAAAGAACAAGATATTCCAGAATACATCTAACATGCATGAATACTATATGCAAGTCAATGCCAATTAAATAAGCAAAAGGAAAATTTCTGAGGTATTTACCTATTAGGTTCATGTTATTCCCGAACTCACTCATAATATAATTAACTGACGATTGAGTCTGGGATGTAACAGTTAGCATCATATATGAGCATTATTATGCTGCTACAGGACAAGAAAATCATAATGCTCAAAAGACTTTGCTAGCATAATATTTACAAATCTATAGCAGGATCTCTCCATGTTTTAATTCGAAGTAAAACAAATGGTGGTAGGTCAAATTAAGTTCGAAGCTTGGTAGCACCGCCTACTGAAATTCAAAGCTTACTTTCGTTGACAAACATCAAACCAGTCCTAGGCATCTCTCAATAAACAGACGTCCTTCTTTTATTATTATCAAATTACAAGTCCTAAATTGCAAGTAAGCCATTCCTGTTCCATTTGTAACAAAAACCAAATGAAATTTACGGGTAATGAACTTTACATGTCCTTGTGACTGAGATTTCCCTTTTGAAAGAAAAAAAAACCCAGAAAATGAGTTTAATTTGGAGAAGGATGAGCTGAGTGTGGATGTGATGACTGATGAGTGAAAGAAAAACAGTTTAAAAGCTATGATTAACACTTAATTAAGAGAGAAAGATTGAGAATTTCACCAGGAGACTGACAGATAACCACCACCTCACAGCCGATGAACATGCCCTGTGAAGAAGAAGATCAAGATGCTATATATATATATATATTTGGTTCAGAAATATACAAAAATAAGTTGAAATTTTGTACCAGGGACGACAGAGTAAGGATTCATGCTTTTAAGGTTCTTCGAGAAAACCCACCACTGTGCTAAATCAGAACCTCAAACCCTATCAACTGAACAAAATCAACAGACCCACATAACCTCAAACCATCACAAATCTGAAACCCTATCAAATCAGAACCAACATCCAATTTTATCTGGAGATTTCGACAAAGTACTCAGAAATCAACATGCAATTTGACCCTAAACCCTAAATAACAAAAACCCATCGAAAATGAGAAACCCTTACCTTGATTTTGGGAACCTACGTCGCGTCGGCTTTGAGATTTGGGGGTTGAAGGTTGCGAAGAGGAGAGAGAGGTCTACGGGAAAGAGAGAGAAAGAGGGAGAGATGCAGGTCTACGTACAGGAAAGAAAGAGCGAGAGGGAGAGATGCATGTCTACGTGCGGGAAAGAAAGAGCGAGTGGGAAGAGAGAGGTATACGGGAAGAGAGAGATCTATGGGGTTCAAAAGTTTGCCAAACTTGGAAAATTGAAAACAAACGCCTATTTTTCACTATTAGAGCGCCAAAATTATCACATGACGCGACGTAGGTATACAAATTGACGTCACGCAAAGTAGTTTTGCTCAACGACTACATTAAGACGTTGCGCAAGGTTTTTTTATTTTATTTTTTTTTAAATATTATAAAAATTACTAAAAATGTGATTTTACTTCTTTCAAATTCAAATTTATTTTACATAAACCCCACAATAATATATTTTTCTAACAAAAACTCACAATAATTTTTTTTTTACATATATATCATTAAATTTCTTAAGTGTTATAAGTACAAAATAAATAAATTAAAATCAACTTAGTAAATATATATACCATTGAACTTGATGGGAAACGCATTGTACAAAACTAATTTCAACTATCCAACCGTCAAACTTGTTTGTATATGCTTCGAGATCGCAGACGCCAAAAATTGCAAAAAACAAACATTCAGAGATTATGTAAAGGGACAAAACTTTTTGACGGTTATAAACGAAAAAGCACGATTTTTCTTTACAAGTTTATATTAATCATCATCTGAACTACAATAATTACTCTCGCTATCCTCACTACTATCATTTCCGGATTCCCATTTGTCTTCATCTTCGTTTTCCTCTTCCGATGCATTGTATTGAGGTAGATCACCAAGGTCAATTGATATTTCGAATTCAGGAAATCCAACTACGTCAAACGGTTCTTGGACAATATTAGTATCCCGGAGTGTTTCTTCACCAATTTCTATCGAAGATGATAACTGTTGGTCAGCGACGTTATCGTAATTGTCATCATGATCTTGTTATGGAATATCATATAGCCCTCTTCGATCAATCTTTTGAACAACTTTCCAACCATTGCCAGCTTTAGGGTCGTCTAGATAGAATATTTGTTTTGCCATTGTTGCCAAAATGTATGGGTCTTCATCGTACCAATGTCTCATAATGTTTACTGATAGTAAACCATGGTCTCGCTTAACACTCGTTCGGTTATGTGGGTTTGTATCAAACCAAAGACACTTAAACAATATCACTTGACACCTATCTTTGTAAAGCAATTGTACTACACTAGTTAGTTTGCCAAAAAAATCAATGTCTTCACTATCACCCGCACCTGGGACATGGACACCACTATTTTAAGTAGACAACTTGTCATCACGTGTTTCCCCCAAGAACTTGATCCCGTTGACATGACAACCTGAGAACAATTCAACGTGAAGCGGTCATCTCGCCAAGTTATATAATTCTTCATCGTAAGAGGGTGAATTCAATTCCTTCAATTTGTTCATCTAATATAACATATACAAAAAATTAACTTGTTAGTATAACCAAATTTAAAGACGGGCATGAACAAGTTGGAAAATATGCTCAATTCAAACCACATACAACTTACATGTGCATGAAACCACGAAGGAAACAAGTCACGGTGCTTCTTGGCATATAAATGTGAAGGATGTTCCCGCTTCATCAATTGTTCATGCTCTTCAAGGTATGGCAAAGCCTCGTCACAATTGTTGAGTATGAACCAATGCGCTACCTCCATGTCCTTTTTGGTAAACGATTCGTCTTTTACAGGATCGCCGAATGGTCGTGCAATTTGGGGAAAAATAGACAGTTTCTCTTTTCTGACACCACCATCATTATTGTGTTCTGGACGATTGAAAGCTGTCTCAACATCTTCAAGATACATTGCACAAAAAGTAAGTGACTCATATGTGACCCATGCATCCACAAGTGATCCTTCGGGCTTTGCCTTGTTTCGAACACAAGTTTTCAACTCACCAAGATATATGCACAAATAAAAGGTATGCTACAAATTATTCAAAGCGTTCGTTGATCATGAATATGTTATATATATATATATATATATATATATATATATATATATATATATATATATATATATAGACGCTTAATTAAGTACCTTTCTATTGGATACATCCATCGACAGTTCACTGGTCCGGCAAGCAATGCCTCATCTGGCAAGTGAATCATCACGTGAATCATACTTGTAAAGAAAGCTGGGGGAAATATCTGTTCGAACTTGCATAAGACGTTCACTATGTCGTCCTGCAATTGTTTAACATCTGACTTCCACAAACACCTTGCAGTCAACTGCGAAAAAAATCTCGACAACAACACGATTGGTTTCACCACATCAAGAGGCAATAAGTGTCGAATACCAACTGGAAGAAGGCGTTGGAGTATCACATGACATTCATGACTCTTCATGTTTTGAAATTTACACCCCTTCACGTTCACACAACGCGAGATATTGGAAGCATACCCATCTGGAAACTTTACAGAAGAAATAAAGTTGAAAAACTCTTTTTTCCCATTCGGCTTAAATGTAAAAAAGGGATGGCCTTTCTTCAATGTACCACCGACATTCTTCATCCACAAGGATGACCTAATACCCATTCGTTCCAAATCGAGGCGAGCTTCGATCGTGTCTTTTGTTTTTCTTTCAATGTCTAGAATTGTCCCGATCAAAGTGTCAAACACATTTTTCTCAATATGCATAACATCGAGGTTGCGTCTCAATTTTAACTTTGACCAATACAGAAGCTCAAATAACATACTCTTGTGTGTCCAGTTCAGATGTGTAGTTGGTTTGGGGTTACTGACCCCTTTGCCGAAATGACCAAATTCCAAACGGTTTAACTGATCCAAAATCTCATCTCTGGATTATTCTCTTGGTCTTGGCCGAGTTTCTTTTGTGCTGTCGAAGGATTTATCATTCTGACGCCACTCGTTGTCCCAAGGGAGCCATCTACGATGACCAAGATAACAAACTTTTCTTGCATGCCAAGATGATGTTACGTTCTCCTTGCATATTGGACATGCCAAATAACCCTTAGTCATCTATCTAGAAACCATTGCATAAGCGGGAAAATCATTTATTGTCCACATCACTGCCGCTCGCATGGTGAACATCTGCCCAGTATATTTATCGTATGTACAAACATCGTTTTCCCATAAATCTTTTAGCTCATCAACCAACGGCCGCAAATAAACATCAATGGACTTTCCTGGATCTTTGTTAATTAATAGAATTAACATCATGTATTCTTTTTTCATGCACTTCCAAGGTGGCAAATTATAAGGAAACACGATGACCGGCCAAGTGTTGTGCATTAGGTTTAAAACCCCGAACAGATTAAATCCATCGGTGGCAAGTCCCAATCTGACGTTGCGCGGGTCAGCTGCAAAATCAGGGTACATCCGATCGAATTCTTTCCATGCCTCTCCATATGCATGATGCCTCATAACATCGTCATTTACCCATCCTTCTTTATGCCATCTCATGTCGGTTGCGGTATGCATCGACATGTACAATCGCTGCAACCTAGGCTTCAATGGAAGATAGCGCATTACTTTTTGTGGAATCTTGGTGTTTCTATTCTGTGATGTCATTTTAAACCTCGGCTCATTGCAGACAGGGCATTTATCCAATGCTTTGTTCTCCTTATAGAACAATATACAATTATTTACACATGCATGAATTTTTTCATACCCCAATCCGAGACCCTTCAACACTTTTTGGGCACTTTTATGATCTTTAGGTAAACAATTCTCCTTTGGAACCATCCTTTTGATAACTCCCAAAAAGTAATCAAAACACTTGTTTGACAAACGAAACTTGATCTTGCCATGCATCAACTCCACAATTGTTGTGAGCATTGAAAAGTTCTCACAACCTGGATATAATTCTTGCTTGGCATTTTTCAATAGTTTTTCGTAGTTTTTGAATGCCTCACTGTCCATGGTTGGACGGCCGTCATCTCCCTCTTCTCCCTCTTCCTGATTGGTGTTGCTCGAGGCGTATGAATAAACGTCATTTAGAATATTCATAACTTGTTCATTAGGATCCACATTTGATTCAACAGTTTCCACTCGTGTCACGTATGAAGACGAAGCTTGGTCTAATCGTTCTCCATGATGACACCAAGTAGTATAGGTCTCCATCATCCCATTTCTTACTAAATGAAATCAAACATTCTTGAATGTCTCCCACGTTGAGTTGTTACACCTCCTACATGGACATCGGATATGAGTTGAACCTAGGTTATGTCTAGTTGCGAATTCAATGAACGCATGTATTCCATCCAAGTACTCAACAACACATCTATTATGATTATGTATCCACTGTTTGTCCATTTTGTCTGCAATCCGAATAAAAGTACAAGAATTACAACAACGTCTACAACGGAATCCTTATAAATGTGTTACCAAGGAATAACCCTTCGTGCTTCCCCACGCTCGAGAAGTAACTGCAAAATCCACCGTGAACCAGTGAGAATAAGTTGTATAGATCTTTAAGAGATGCAACTGCTACAACTAATAATATCTAGAAAAGTTTTGCATCAAGCGATCATATAAAATTGGAATGAATAGGTATATAGGTAAATGGAGATATAACTAATTAAACTATATGAAATTGGATGCCATTGAAAATCTACACCGCTGCTGGCATTCATTCATTTTATTCAAAAATTGGAATTAAGTACAATTGAAGCAAATTATGAGACAGATTAGGACATGAAAACTATTGTCTTGTCACCTTATTCCTCTGGTCAGGGCCCTATCCCATTCAAGAATGCACAGTTATGTGCCGTAATTTACGATTCCAATGGATTAAATTTCGACGTGGGCTAATTTCCCAGCATCTCCTTACAGTTCTTCAAGTGCACGTCGTAGATACATAATATCCACCGTGTACTCAAAGAACATCGGGAAATGTTACCAAAATTTCCACTATCGAAAGCTAATCTGTGGACCGCAAACTACAACACATAACTAGGGCATTCCCAAACTGTCCAAAAAATGGGACAATTCAATAATTAATTGGACCGCAGTCATGCTTTCACATCCATGCACGAAATCCAACTAATTCTCAAACGGGAAACTAAGCTTTTCCTGAGAAAAGGGTATGAAGTTAAGTAGTATTAACTTAGTACAACACAAAACAATTTTGTAGGTGATGTACAAAAATATGTGCATACAAATAAACTAAATCACAA